GGATAAGATCAGGGGACGGTAAGTAAGTAAGCCAAATATACTTTACAGCAGCAGCAGAAGTTAATTACATAAAGTTCAGGTCTGTAATAATTAAGCTGCTCACGGTTGGGTGAAAGACAATTTATTATTATCTCGGCCGTTGCGATAAATGGCTTCTTTATTGCCTTTTCTAATAAACCAATACGTTAATGTATCGATATAAATTCTATAAATATCTAATAAAATTGGCTTCCTCCCATTGCAAAACCAATCTATGGAATATTCAATCGTAGAATGTAGTCCAATCAACCGTGCTCTAGCTTTTAATAATTACGAACATTTTATGGAATGCAGGCAACGTTATGGACTTCTAGCCGATATCAATATTGCGGTATTAAAAATAATTAATTGCGATTAATAATAGAAAAATTCAAAGCAGAGACGTGTCTTGTCAGAGACAAAGTCCTACTAGATATTTCACTGAAAGCGGTAATTTGGAGCTGTTTAAAAATATTCCCCACTTTCGCCTGCCTGAAATGTTACCAGTGTTGAAGACAAGGTTGTTTTATCAAAGCGACTCTTCAAAGTTCTCGCACATGTTTGAAATTTGTATTGGGACTGAATTGTGGATCGTAACTCCTTTGATTTTTTTAAATTATAAAATAAAAAAACAGATGAACTTTTTGGCAATGAACCTCGCCTATGATAAACATATTGTGCTTCACCAAATCCAGGGCGCCTGTTCCTATGATTATTAAGTATGCGCTTTTGATCAGCATTATAATGTGTTTCCTACATTTGAAAATCTGTTATAGAAACGCAATTTATAAAAAAAATTATAACTGACGTAGGAGACTGAAATAGACAGATGACTCACCTCAAAATCATCTTTAATGAGGTGATTGAGCTTCCACAGCAGTTGCTCGTCCATGAACAAATCACTCTGATAATCCATGATGGTAGAACAAATGAATTTTCATAATAATTGGTAAACCGACACTGTTTCGACGGAAACGCGTGACTCAACTGTCAAAAAACAAAATCGGTGTCCTTTGTGAAATGTGGGAAAACAATTGAAATCCACCTTAGTCGGTGGCACTTTGAAAGCGAATTAATTGGTGTAATGTCGATTCCGACAATCCTGCGACAAATCAAGTGTCCAGATAAGCAGGGTTTTTTTCCTTTCGAGAGACTGAACGCGATAAAACGATTTCCAATTTAGTGGAAAACAATTGCAACAACTACAACATGAATGTAGACATACACACATATGTAGTTGAAAACAATGTTAAATGTCGTATATTGTAAAGTGTCTGGGTACTCAAGGAATTAGATTTAAGACATTTTTAAATCGCATTTTAAGTTTGCCTCAAGAAGTACTATTGAGATTTAGTTGATTCGTTTGAAGTTTAGTTGAACGTAGTTTCCCTTATTAATAGTGAGCCCGCTTGGGTCTCTTTGCTGTTCTTCAAAACAAAATCTTCCTAATGAGTGTTTGAATATCCAATGCACGGTTAATAACAACTCGTTGTGAACTCCTATCTAATGAGTCAGTTTTGATTAAAATGTCTCTAATAAGATGTTGCTTAATCTAGCGACGTGCTCGAATTGGCGCCAATTGAATCCACAGCATTCTGGACGTTCCCGTTTAGAGCTCATAAAGTCACTGTTAATAGAAACAACAGCCCACTTGGCTTTGATCATTTTGTTAATGATTTTTTTATCTGCTTCGTAAAGCCATTCAATTTTTTCGTAATAACATTTAAAAATTAATTGGGCCTGATGTAAATGGCTAATTATATAACGCTGTGTTATGTTTCGACTTGATGTGAACAACACCAAGATGCGGGGCAAAAGCACAAGTTTGTGGCTATGCCAGAAGCAAGCGGTTTCGGACCTATTCGACCTCCTCAGTTGGGCGAAGACTCGCTTGCTTATGAAATAACCATAACTCTGTGCTTGCAATTCGCATTTACGACTGTGATTAGTCAATACATGAGTAGTATACATGATGAGTTTTAATTCAATTCGAATATGCAAATATACTGTTTGTTCTACTGCTAGTATTTATTTTGACTCTATGGGGATGCATCAAATAAAAACAACTGATTTGTTTTTTAAATTGTTGCTTTATTTCACAATATTTACAAAAACATGCTATTTTAATACAGAACCTTGCACCCTAGGAACACTTATTCCAACAGTTTGGGAGCTTTTTAATATCGTTATCGTAAAAACACTTCAAACATTTACGCAGTTTCTGGAACAGAAACTTCTCTATCGCTTTTTCGTCGAAATTACTTCCTTCAGAGGTCCAAAATGTCGAGGTGACAAGTCTTGAGTGTAGGGAGGATGATTCAACGTTACCCAGTCAAAATTGTCTAACTTTCTTGCTCGTAGCGTTTATTGAATGAGGCCTGGCGATGTCGTAGACAAATGATATTTTTGCCTGTTGCCTCTTTCTTTTTTTCGGTCGATAGTCATAACCTTTCTGGTATGTATGGTATCTTAGCATATACCCGCTTTTTCTTCATTCCTTTCTTAAGTGTATTGTGCAATATTCATGAGATTTATTCTCTTCCTCCATGATATTTCGGACTGCCCCAATATAGGCTTTGGTCAGGCTGGTTCTTAAGCGACTATCGTGAATTTGGTCCTCAACTTTTTCACAAAATCACTTCTGGAAATTTGTTGTACTGTATACGGGTTCTTGACAGAGTGTTGACTCTGAACTGTCCCTGTAAACTCCACAATATGCCTGATGGGTTCACTCTCTCGTTTGAGCAAGAAAAATTGAGTAAAAACCATTGATAACTCTAAATGTATCGTTTGAACAATGGGTGATTTTTTCAGACTCAGAAATTGTCAATTGATTCAAACACTGTATAATTTGCGAAATTTAAGTATATCTATGCACTATACTATAGAACACTAAATGAAGACCGGACAGAAAAGTATTTTAAATATTAATTCGGCAAAATTGTGCAACTTTCATCATACAAATTATGGCGATTACGGATTAATACAAATTATTTTTTTAAATTGATGCAATTGAGACTTTCCTCTTAATAGTTTTGCCTTAAAAAATACAAATTGCTACTTTAAGTTAACAGGCCTACAATATTTTAATATTTGGTTCAATAGCTATTTCGTCTGTCCCAGGCTTTTTGGCAGTGACGCAATAGTAGCCGTCTTTTTTATTACTTTATTAAGGAATGTCTCATCAAATTTATACGATTCGTGGAATTATATATTATTTCTTGGCGAGTTGAGTTTCTATGAATTTTTCCAATCATTTCAATTGTCCCATACACTTTCCCTTTGTGTTTGAGTGTTGTTCGGGTACCGAAAATGCCTAAGCAATTTGCGAGGGTGAACAACGATGCAGTTGGCTCATGGTTTCACCACCATTGCTTGAATCTTGTACGACTTCCTCATTTTTTTCTTCATAATTTAACTGGAGGTTTACCACAACGAAAATAACACACTTTAATGTCAACTACTGAAAAATTAAGACCAATTAATAATAAAACTGAAGAAAGTGATTTATTTTCCCAATTTATTGTTTACATTATGCAAATTGAACTTCGCGTTTGCAACTTCAAATCATTCAAATGCCATGTTGTCGACTGCTTTCATAAAAAGCGAATTACAAATAAATGAAAAATTAAAATGTCTGCAATTATGATGACGAATTTATCAACAATAAAAAATGAAGATAGTTTTGAAAACTTCTATAAAACCGTGCTATTACAATAATATCTGATTCCACAAATATAAATCTTTAAATCAGCGGGAACAAACGCTCAAGCTGGCAATCATAAAATATGATTTTTTTTTTAAGAACATTTTTCGAACAAATCTTGGGCATCAGTAAATTTTAATATGGCGTCTCAAATAATGACGTCAGTGCCAAATTGCTTGGGACAGACTATACATGTTTAGGTAAGAACTTCAATAGACAAAACCCATTACAAACATTGATTTAAAAAAAAATATATAAAAAGCATTTTCGATTATTTAAAATGCTTAAAAATGGATATATATTTGGTAAAACGACGAATAAATTGCAGGAAAACGTTCACACTTTTAGTCACTTGAACTCCAGTTTTTGACAGATAATAACTCGAATAATAAATAATATAAACATAAAATAAAATCCAATGAACAACTGCCCTTATTTTAAGCAAATTATCAGATCTTAGTGTTTCATTTGGAAAAAAAATGTTTATCTCGCTGTTTTCCTTTGTCGCATTTATTAATCATCAGTTTAATGAACGTGGCAAACAGAATAATGAGATAATGATCAATAAATCGGACAAAAACCCGAATAATTGGGACAAGAACTCAAGAAAAAAATATCAACTTATACCAACAAATATTCGATGTATGTATAACATATACTTATATAAAAATAACAGCACCTTTACGTAAAATGAATATTAACCAGTAAAGTATAGACTTTCTAGGACATCTTCATCGGATACATAACTCTTTTTTACGACCCAAGGTACCTTGTGCTATCTATGTGCAATTTTATCGGCTAGACATTTAGTTGTGACGACAAAACAATAATTATGTGCTATTATAGATAGTTATTCGTTGATTCGCAGATAAATATATCTAAAAGTACTACTTGCGTTCAGTAGTTGAAATCTTTAAGCGTTTCTCAGCATGGGGCCATTGTAAATGGTTAAAATTCTTTTAGTAGACACTAACACTTTTAGTAGACAAACAACAATATGGCATTTTCTCTGAATAGCCAGTTGAATAAAAAATAAGATAAAAAATTATAAAAAAAACTACAGTGTCGTTTAATATACATTTATAAAGCCTAGTTAAGAAGAGCTTTTTCGATTGAGAGATAAATGAGAGTCACAGACACAGACAAAACTTCAGGTAGAAATGCAACCCTTGCAAGAATTGCTGGCATCGTCGGATTAAAATTGAAACATTGATCTCGAAACCTGGCAAATTACGTATGTGAAACCATGTGTATTGCTTATGAGAAAAACACTTACCCCGCTATCTGCATTAATAAAGTGATTAAATTTCCAGGACAATTGCCCGTTGATAAACGACTGATGGCTTTGAAAGTCCATTTTGCTTAAGTAAATGTCACCACATAACGATTAAACGAACATACCATTTAACATAAGGCGGCAGTACGATTCCCATTTTTCATTCTAGTCAAAGTGCGCTATTAAAAACAAAAGTGAAAAAATCGACACTTTACACGATGTTTGAGAAAAAGGAAGTGAACAATGCACATTTAACGAAAACAACTAAGCGACAACTGGTTATGAGTAGAACCAGATGTTCGTTAGTTTTGGCAAAAGCGCGTCCAAAGCTTTATCAATGAGGAAAACATAAATTACTGTAATAACTGTATAGTCTAAGACCAGCTTTGAAATTATATATACAATGTGAGTTGAAAAAAATTGAGCAACTTTTCGGTTTTGAAAATTATGCATTATAATTACACTAGAATGAATTAAGAAGACAAACAAAGATAAAGTGTCGATTTTTTGCAATACCCATAGGATTTTTCGTACGAAGCACCATGACTATTTGAGGAAAAACTTGTTAAAAGTGATCACCAGAAACCAGCCACTATGTTACGCGAAACGATTTTCTATTGTTTGCGTTTGAATAAAGGGGCCTTAAGGACACTTCCCTTTGGTACCCTCCACGAACCCGATACTAGTAGATCGTGGTTGTAAAAGCGACGCACGTAACAAGACTGAATTACGGGGAGTCCGCGCTCAGTTACGTTATGCTCTATGAATATGTAATAATAACCCAACTCTATGAATGTTTCGTTTCTCCTCCCTCCCACCTCTTTTCTAAAACAACCGTCGATTCCGATTGTCGGCCAGAGTCTCATTCACTTTTCCACATTGCGTATCCATAGAAAATCAAGTTGGCAAACTGTTGCTGACTAAATATACGAGAGGCAACTAAAGAACAACAAAGGTTAATAATAAAAGCAGTAGCATATTGTTTGTTTGGTCAAGCGTATAGTAGGCCGGTCATTGTCATTGGCCGGGCAGACTGCTTGGCAGCAGCATGCAGCCATGCATTCGTGAACGATTTGATACCGACGATATTCATAACAAAATTATTATACAACTTGGACTGTTCAACCTCCTTATCAGTTCACCCAAGGAATCTGAGCCGTAATGGTTTTTGTTTTTGGCTTGTCCAAGCATTACAATCGGCGAACTTTCGACGCAAAATCCTCTTATTCACGCGATATTTCTTCCACAAGTGACCGAAACCTTGACCTTAACTCGAAAACAAGTCGTCAACATCTTCTAAAAGCAACAAAAGAACAAGAGAACAAGGAAATCTTCTTTCACATGAACCTGACCTTTTCGGTTAGAAACATCTATTTCGATTTTGTAGTCATTTTTTCATATACATATAAATATACAGGATGATTCAAATAAATAAAGCTGCTGATCAGAATAGTTCATGGGGTAGGTTCAACCTCAGTATATATTCAAATATTTCAATAATATATTATGGAACTTATCAGTGACAAGCCATACTAAAAATGAATTGCGCATGTGCAGATGTTAATATAACGGCGGCACTATTAGTGAAACAACTGTAATGTGTGTTCCATGTCTCTTTAATATCACAATATTAACTTTGTCCTGAAACTGATTGAATTCTGATCAGCTAGAAAAACTGTTTCACATCGTAAATCAATGTAGGTACAGTCAATACTAAAGTTGTGCATTATTATAAAAATTTTTAAAATATGAAATAAAATTAAAATTGAAAGACTTAGGTAAGTCAAAATTTGACGTAAAGTGATTTTCTTAACACCCTATATATTTATAGACAGATCGATTTTTCCCCTGCCTATATTTCTTTCGACCGTTTTCTTTATATTGAGTTTTAAAAATGATAAATAGCAGCAAATGTCAAATTCTCGACTGAAATTCGAAGTGCTCGTTACAATATACAAGCAAATATGTCTTATTATATGTCTGTCTATGTCTGTTATTCTTACCATGAACCATGCGATATTCTGTCAAAACATAGAAAATTCCATCTCGAGACACATTTAAGAATCTAGAAAAACGATTTTGCGAAAGGCAAATAATGAGAAGAAAAACAAATGTTGTTAATAAAGATGAAGAATTAAATTTCTTATCCATCTCACAAGGTTCGCCCGGTAGCACTTTTTTGAAATGAAAATTTTGTCCCATGACCCCCATGGCTCCATAAAAGCCCCGACTTAACGCCTCTTGATTATTTCCTAGGAGTTATTTAAAAAATATTGCGTATAAAAGTCCAGTTACAAATTTTGATTATTTACGCCTTAGAACAGCGGCTGTAGTTAACAATATTAATATGAATGATAACCAATATATTCAAAATGTTTTAGATAAAATTGAAATTGATTATAGGAAATGTAGAGCTAAATGGAGGTCATATAGAAAATCACTGATTTTAATCTTATTGTTTTTAATTCTATGATAGCAATAAATATCGTAATTTTTTATATGTTTTTTGCATTTGTAATTTTTAAAACGAAATATGAAGACAACGGCTAACACGAGTCTAAACAATATATATTTCTGAAATCAGGCGTTAATCGTAATTGTTTACTACTATTGTAAGCTGGATGTGAATGGAAATGTAAATGTATTGGCAATTTCATGCACCACGAAAATAGCAGATATATTACAATTTAGAATATTATAGTAGAAAACAACTACAATTGGATCCAGCTGATAAGAGCTAATAGACTCAACACCGGTTTTATCGAGCCTTCTTCCAAACAGTCATCACAACTTAATATAACACCAAAACTTATTGGCCAGGTTTTGAGACAACAAAACAACGCATATAAAAATCCGTAAACAAACTGGATCAAACACAGTTTTTATGCAATTGGCAATGAACAACCAATATGAATCCAAAATACTTAACAAAATCGATTGTGTGGACATTTTTCCTCAAAATTTAGGACTCGGAACTTGGAAAATTGCGTTACTTCTTTTCAACAACTTTTCAGGCATTTCCAATACCAACAGATTAAACTATTTGCCGTTGGAAACTAACGCGAGAATTATTCGTACTCAACTGGTAATTATACTGTTTGCAGTAAAACTTACAAATTTACTTAGTTCTGCCTTTGGAAAGCTTTTTACCAATTTTCGACATGTTAACAAAAATGTGAAACATTGTAAATTTTACCTTTGGTGCATTTTAATTTATTCGCCATTTCCCATGTATTGGAAATATGTATTTGTAACTTGTTGAGCTGCCGATGTAAATATGTGTATATTAATGTGCGTTAATTCTCATAAATATTAGTGATTAAGTGAAAATATATCAGTTTTTCAATATCCAATGTAAATATTGACACTGTAGTTGGCATAGTTTATGATTTTTCAAATTTACATGGGAAACGAATCCCATTATTTGCCACTTTTTCCGCAAAAATTAGAAAATCATTTTAGTTTAGTAAAGTATGTGTTGCAGTTGCAGTTGCAGTTGAAAATATTCACCAAATGGATGCAATTTTTATGAGTGAATGATGCAAAACGCTATAATCGATTATCCTTTTTTTTTGTTTAAAACGCCCATCTGGTGGGAAGAATTGCCATTTTGAATATTTCACCTGGATTGGCAATAGGCGAACACTTTAAGCAAGAGTGGATGAACATTTCCAGCTTATCGAGCCTAATTATTTATGAAAAATAATATTTATTTAGGCGCTTGCAGTAGCAAAAGCAGAGAAACATTTTAATGATTTAATTAGCGGTCCAAGCTAGGAGATCACGAGACTTCTCCGATTAGCTGTAATATGTGCAAATTCCATCCGAAATTATCTTCAGTTTGAAAGATTTTTCCAAAAAAACCTCCATAACCGAGTTATTCGTAGACAAGAAGTGAATGATGCAACTTAATGTTCAAGGAAGTATTTCACTGTTCGCAAAGTATTTTTCAACAAGCCATTAACAGTGCGATTACTATCAGATATTTAAATTGGCCCCTTCATAAGTGGATTGTAATTATTGGCGGTTTGTATCAGATCGTGGTCCGCTCGCATCTTATTGCTAGTACATGAATTAATAAGGAATCCGGCAAATCTCCAAAGAGGCCTTATGATATCCTCAACCTTAATTATCCACTTGTATTAAATAGGATGGGGTTTGAATGCGAATCACTTTTTACTTTAGTGTATCATGCTTCATAGTCAATTATTCGGTAAGTATTGGGTAGTACAAGTAAGTGAAAAATAAAACAATATTGTGATCCGCGTATTAAATAAATTTTCAGAAAATGTGCACAACTTTTTACGTGGTTTTAATGATTCGACATAGTCACAGCATTGTGTTTAATTTGGACACATTTCGATTTAACTCTTTTCAATTGTTTGATGAGGGTCCCCTCAACTGCCTTAGTGATTGATTTCACACTGAAAAAATATTCAATGGAACTGAAATCTGGTGACTCGGGAGGCTATTTTATTTACTTTTGAATAATGTCTTAAGCAAATCATTCTCAACAAAGAACTTTTTAAATAAATTGCCTCAAATTCCCAATATGTTTTTCATAAAGCAAATGACTCAGAAACTCATAAAATGCGCAGCAAAAAAATAAACGTAGTTTTTCAGAATTGAATAAATAATAAATGTATGTAAATGGTTTGCTAAATTTTGTCGTTTGCTAAAGGAAAATTTGATCGACTTGATTCAAATATTGACACTTTATTTCGTTACTTTAAACTTACTCTGTTCTATGATAGATGCATCATCAAAACGGCCTTGTATAGACAAATCTGAACTACATGAGTTTATCGTTATGTGCTGGCAAAGTTACGGTAACATCAAACAAAGAAAATGAAAGTGAGGTATTCCACAAAGCTATTCCAAATACTCCCATTTCTGGGACGCGTGTGAATTTACCATGGCTTTGTTTAATTACTGATTTATCGCAAATTAGATACTGATGGAAAATTATATCCCCAAGAGGAAGGCATACACCATAGCGGGCTAATCGAATAGAAACTAACAAGGCAATAGTGTTGCCTTGAAACGCCTTTTATAGATCATTATTTTTATTTTAGTCTTATTGTTTCGCCGTCGTTTTAATTGCCATCTTGATACGTCTTGCACATAAAACTGTAGTTCATAACAAACAAACAAAAAATAATCACAACAGAGGCAAATTAACAGGATTAAGCGATAAATTCAGTATACAATAACTCAGTGAAGTGTTAATTGATAATTATTTGAATAATGCGACTGGAAAATAGGTACAGTAATTGTTGATCTTGCCTGCATGTAACCAGGATCATAAATTCATGAAAGAATTATGTTTCTTTTTCTGTGAAACGCCCGAGGCGCCGCCAAAGCAAGCTTAGACATTTTTCCCGACCAGTGAATGGCTGCACCTTTATTATTTGCATTATTATTAAATTATTTACCTTATATATAAAACACCATTAATAAAAAAAAGTAGTTATTTGAGAAATCCCGTAAAGCGATTTGAACTGACTGGGCACGTATTATCTCCTCATAAATGGACGATTGGTATAGTACAATGGCCTGGAGCAGTTTACATTGCAAGATAATTATTGCACTTTAATCCAGTTTTAAGTCCGAATAGAACACCGTAATCCACGATTATTAAATGGAACTCAGAGAAACTTCAACAAACATTTGTTCAACATCATTTTTACTTTCATTTTTGGGCTTTTATATAACTAGTTATCTAAACTTTCAAGCTATTCAAATTAGAGCATGCCACAAACTTCAAAAAATTGTG